TAAACTTATTTACAAAACAGAAAGAGACTCACAAACATAGAAAACAAAGTTATGGTTATCAAAGGGGAAGGGAGAAATAAATTAGGAGTTTGGGATTACAGATACAAACTACTATATATAAAACAGATAAACAATAAGGTCCTATATTCAATATCTTATAATAGCCTATAATGAAAAATAATATGAAAAAGAATATATATATAAACTGAATCACTATGCTGTATACCAGAAACTAACACAACATTGTGAATCAACTATACTTCAGTTAAAAAAAGAAGAAAAGAAAAAGCAAAAAATAAGGGCTCATGATAACATTTCCTGAGTTCCCCTATGTTCAGAATATGTGTTTCTAGTCCTTATATCTTGCAAGTCAGTTTGGCAGGTCATAAAACCCTTGAGACCTGCTTTCTTTCCTATAATGATGATGAATTTGTGATCTCCCAAGGCATCCTGTTTCATTTTTGGATATCTCAATTGTTACTAGGTGGGTTTTGTTTTGTTTTTAAGTTTTGTTAAAATTGGTCTCTGTAAAATTCTGAGTAGACTACAGTCTCTTTTACATAGAACCTGCCAAATATTTCTGTTCTCCAGGATAAAAGTTAACAAGTCACCGAAGGAAAGTTCTCCAGAATACCTTTTAGTGTACTTAATGATTTGTTAATTCAGTTAGCTCAAGCCATAGCATCTTCCTTGCCCTCCTCATGCCTTCCTCATAGCACTCTTTTAAAGCAAGTTAGTTTTCATTTTAGAGGGACCATGGGGATCATCTGGTGCAAACGCATTAACTTAGGAAGAAGAAACTGAGGCCCAGGGAGAGGGAAAGAGATTTTTCCCAAGGTCATTCCACTACAAGGAAACTGAATCTGACTTTGAACCCCAGTTACCGCCCCCAGGCAAACGTTTGTTCCCTTCATTGAGTCCTTCAAGAATATAATCATCTTTTTTTTTTTGCTGGTGAAAACATTTAAGGTCTCTTCTCTTAATTATGTGAGGTGATGAATGTGCTAACTAACCTTACCATGGTCATCATGGTCTCATGGTAATTGCATTATAAAAATGTATCAAATCATCTTGTTGTACACCTAAAATAAAAGGATCAAAAATGTTTCGTTGCACTTAAAAGACTCAATGTATGCCCTGTCACATAAAAGAAAATTACCTAATGTCTCCTTGATAATTATCATTTCATTTTTTATTCCAACTATGTAGGTAATGGCACAACATACAAGATCGCTGTATCAGAATTTAGAGTGGGTTTGCTATTCATTTACATAAATTATCACTTTCATTTTGTTTCTTGAAACTGACAAACTTCAGATAAATGCAGATTTAGTTTTCCTACTCTAAACTCTCTAAACCATCATTTTGAAATCAAATTACACAGCTTATGCTTAAAACATAAGGGCCAGATTCTATCTTCAAATACACCACCCACTCTCTAACAGCAGAATTTGGCCCTAAAAACCCATTAACAAATATTGTCATTAAACTAAAGAGCTAATTACTTTGGATTTAGATGGAATGAACAAAATCATAGGCTAACCGCAGCTGGTAGTAATAATGGTAAGACTAACCGTATGTTACACTGGAGATTTAAAAAACACAGACTTGTTAACACTAATGTAACCAAACCTATAAAATTATCTTCCAAATGGGGCAAACTATTGTAGTTAGAAAATTCTTGAAAACACATTGAAATTACATGATAAAAAATGAATAGACTAAGGAATTAATTGTCATAATTCAAAATTACCAGATTTTAATGCAGAGAGGAACTTGAGAAATTTATCTACTGCAATATTCCACAAATGAAGAACTACATCTAAAAGTCATTTTGATCTATTTGGAAGTACTATTCAAATCAGTTTATCACTACAAGATGCAAGAGCCTAGCTTTAAGGCTATTTTAAACAACTGTTAGTAGGACTACCTTACAGTTCTATGAAAGTGAACTTCCCAGAAAACTGAATTTTCTCAGCCTTTAAAAATATGTTAAAATTACATTAATAATACACTTTAGCAAAAGTTTTATAAACCCTGAGAAGCAATAAAAATCAGACATAACTTCATCAAATGAGCATAGCTCATCAATAATACTCTGATGTGTATCATTTCAATTTTTTTCTTATGCATCTGTACCTTTTTTAATAAAAATGGGACCACATCACAACATGGTTTGTAACTTGTTTTCATTTTCAATATGTTATGAGCATTTCACAGCATCAGTGATTATACTTTTGCTACATAAATTTAAATGACTTACCAACTTTTTTTTTTTTAATGGAGGTCCTGGAGATTGAACCTAGGACCTTGTGCACACTAAGCATTCGCTCTACCACTGAGCTATACCCACCCCACCCCCTACAACTTCTTAAATTGAGAATAATAAACATTTAGTCTTTTCGGGTATCTCACAAACATCATTATTAACACTGTTTCACAATAATACTAATGCTCCCCGGAGACTCTTACATATTTAAATCTCCTTCCTCCTTTATTGAATGGTCCCAGATGGCTCTACTGTTCTCAAGCCCTCGCTTAATTACTTTTAGCTCTTTTTCCTCTCAATATCAGATTTCCAAATACAGCTAACCCAGCCTGCAATAAACCTGAATTTGTTCTTTTCATTTCTAGGTTAATGACATGGTAGATTATCTACTGACAACTAAAATAATGTATGATTTCAAATTGAATTACATTTATAAGTACCCAGGTATTTTCTTCACTTCTTCAAACTTCATCTTGGAGGAAAATTTCCTCCTACCTTTCTTACCCAAGAAATCATTATTGCAGAACACTTGGCTAGTTTCTCCTTGTCAATAGGCCATACTCGACCAGATTGCTGCTTACTCGTCTTTGTACAAAGCGTTTTTACAGCAAGTTTGGAAGAGAAAAGACTGCTGTGATATGTGAGGGGACCAGACTAGAAGATCTCAATGGTCCATTTCTATTCTAAAACGTAATGCTTCTATAAAGTTTCTGAAATGTATTCTTTTGTTGTATATTTTACTTCCTGAGCATCGAGGCTGTTTCACTCAGGTTCCTTAAAACTACATTGTAAGTTTTCTTTAGGGAGTCATGATTTAAGATAAATACACCAATGATAATGAATGTGACTCACTTGAGGACACAATTTCATTGTTTCTCCACCTGCTCCTCTGCAAAGGAAGGGGAAAGGAAAGCGAAAGGAAGGGGAAAGGGAAGGGAAAGGACAGGGAAGGGAAACGGAAGGGAAGGGATGGGAAGGGAAGGGAAGGGAAGGAGGAAGGAAGGAAGAGTTTCTATGCTTTTCTGAAATTGAAATAATATAAAAGGTCTGCACTAAAAGCTTCTTGAAATCGTATTTGGGGACTCTGCTGAGCCATAAACTTGTGTACTACAGATTTAAGGATTTTACCATCTTGTATACCACAAATTTTAGGATTTTTATTTACCAGGTATGTCAATCTTACTATTGAGAACAGTTTTGACAACAAATGCATGCAAAAATTAAGTATTATAGTTAATGCAATTCTGTGAATATTTACTTTTGGTTACTTGAAAAAAGTCTTGCTTTATTTTATGCATATGACTATATTCATTTTCTTTCTGTAATACTAGTTGCTAATATGGTTAGCTAACACATGCTATAGAGACACACTTCTTGTTAAGGGTTTACTTTTGCCTTTTGATATTTTATGGACAAGAAATTCTACACAATATGAACAAGTGCAAACAAAGACTGATAGAGAAGAAAATAGCTATAAGCCTGAAATTCAAGCAAAGGATTTTTACAAAAAACGTCACTGTTCACTATAAAAATGATATCATATTGAACCTTTGAAAATCATCACAGTTTAAGATCCAGATGTGTCCTTACCAGTTGCTTATTTTACTGGTTTAAAAAAAGGCAAACATTTTATAAACATAAAACTGCAAGTAATAAAGATGAAGTTGCTAAATGAAATATAGGAAACAAAAATAAAATAAAGTCAATGAATGTCCATGTAATGCATATATCACATGATTTCTAAGGTTTAATCTGTAGAGGAAAAAATAGTAACCAAATGTGTATTAAGCAGATCTGTTCTTTTGAAATCTAAGGCTTAGTTTCCAAAATGAAGAGAAACAGAAAAAAACTCTTCAAAAAATATAGAAATGCTTAGCCAACTCCAGTAATAATTCATTATTTTCATCTTCCAGATATTTCTTAGAATTAGATCCAATAAACATAAACATCTGAATAAATTAAAACAATAACCATAAACATCTGAATAAATTAAAACATTACTTGGGACAGAGAAAGAGCTGAGGAGAACAATGACAGGATTGTCACTCTAAAGGATTGGGACATCTGGGAAGTAGCTTATCATTACTGAACTTTAAAAAGGAATATTAAAGAGAATTAATAATTCAATTTGGGGGGTCAAAAGGGATCACTAGTTTAGCGTCTCTGTGCTAAATGTGCCTTCCCTATTTATTCTTGTGATTGAAGAAAACAAACAACACAAAATCCCATTTAATATAAAGTTCCAACATTAGAAATACCTTATTTTGAATGACTATTTCTGTCTCTCAAAGGCCCAAGACCCACCTACACCAGGATCACTTGAGGCTGAGTAACTGTAAAGATGCAGATTGCTCGACGGTATCTCAGACATAGGGAATCTAAATCTCTGTGAAATATGCCTAGGAATCAGCATTTTAAGAACCTCCTCTCTTATGCATATTAAAATTTGAGAACCACTGTGTGTCATGCTTTTTTGTGCGTGAAACTGATTATCAGGTATCAAGATAACTACTGTGCCTTGCTTGTATTTACATTACATGATATGCAACAACTTTTAAACTTTGTATTTTATTTCCCTTTTCTTGTGGGAGAACTGCACATAGCTGGCTATTTTCCTTATATTCAATAACTTCTTTTACTTTAATATATTTTATTAAAATATATTAAGTATTCACTTTTGATGTAAATAAGAGTTACACAAGAATATGAGTTACTTCCAGAATTCACTTACCTTCAAATCCTTATGCTTATTCAGAAAGTTCTGGGCGTAGACTGTGGAAATTTTCAAGAATATATGCAGTGGCTTCTCTGTTTAATTTCAAAGCATTTCAAGGCTGGCCAAGGAGACTCCTGAGGTGGACACCAGAAATGCCATTGAGAAGCGAGGAAGACATCAACGCTGAAGCCTCTGCGTACCTGATTATCTCTGAACAGAACAGAAAAACAAGTAGTTGGTCACCTGAAATTCGTGGAGAATCTGCTATGGAGAAGGTTATTTTCAGTAAACTAGCAGTGTTACTAAATTTAAACTTGGCCAGGGCTTGCCGCTCCCTGATTTAGCACAGTTGTCATTTAAAATTTCATGTCATTGTGAAGTCAGAATTGCATGATGCTGCTGCCTGCAGAGGATTCTGGTTGAATTCAGACGGCTTTAATTGACTATTTTTTCCAAACATTGCATCAAGTGATATAATTACTAATTTTATTTTTGATATGCAGGTGCTACATTTTGGTGCTGAATTTCTTTCTAAGTCAAGGTTGATGAGGTCTCTTGGAAATATATCCTTACGTGAGACTCTATCACACCTCTTAAAGGATAAAATGTGATACTTTTACAAAATCCCCATGTCATCATCTGGTACTTTTGCTATATTTTCTTTCACAAGGGTAATGCTTGTCAAGATAATTAGACACAAGTAAAAATAATATCCTTTGCAGTCAATATGTGTTGCCTACTCAGGGAAACCAAAATTCTAGCTTCTTTACTGAATGAGTTAAGCAGATGTTGTGGCTAATGGAAAAAAGAGAATAAAACATCTATTCTTAAAATTGGTAATTAATCATGCAAATATTCTCCTAAAGGCTAGAGGGAGCAAAATATACAGATAAATACAAAGTCAAATAAAAAATGAGCATAATATACATGTAAGCACAGAGGATACTGTAAAACAACAGGTTTTCATGCAAGACCCCATTGCTTGGTCGCCAAAAACCCTTCCCAACTTTATTCTGGCTTCTTATGTCTCACAAATAAAGAATGGAAAACCAAATGTTCACTCTCCTGGTCTTCTTTACTGCTAAGAGTGGTCATGTGACCCCATTCTGGCTCGTAAACTGTAAGAAGTACGCTGGGTAAGAAATGAAGCAAAATTTTGTTTTATTGATAAATAGAAAGATTCCTGTTCCTCTTCTTTTTACCACATAATTGCTTGCCTTGAATGAGGCTGTGATACTTGGAGGTACAGCAGTCACCTTGTCACTGTGATGTAAAACACAATGGAAATCCAGAGAAACACAAATACATAGACCTTGTAACTGATAAGCAGCCGAACCAACAGGACTAACTGCTTCCTTTGGAATTGTACTCGTTTAAACCAGTGGGTTTTCTATTGCTTGCTAACAGGAATCATAGCAGTGGTGTTTACTTTTTAACAAATGTTTTCTCAGCATTTGGTCAACCTGCAATGATTCTGTTAGCAAGCAACCTTAACAAGCCAATGATCTCCATTCTGGGGTTTTTGTTGCCCTATTATGTTTAAAAAAAAAAAGACAAGAAAAACCCTTTGTTTTTCTCGCTGGACGTGAGCATAGGAACACGTAGCATCTGGAACTACTGGCAATCACTTTGGGATTGTAAGAGGAGAACCTGCCAGAATTTAGTCAACATCAAGGAAGTAGCTGTAAAATAGCAGAAGTGTTTTGAGCGTCGTTTCAACCCTGGACAGAGCCTTGCTTGCAGGTAGAATACCCTGAAACTTTCAGTTATGTGTGAATTTATAAATTCTTTTCTTTCTTTCCTTCTTTCTTTCTTTCTTTCTTTCTTTCTTTCTTTCTTTCTGTCTTTCTGTCTTTCTGTCTTTCTCTCCTTCCTTCTTTCTCTTTTCCTTCTTTCTCTCCTTCCTTTCTTTTTTTCTTTCTTCCTTTCTTTCTTTCTTCCCTTTCTTTCTTTTTTTCTTTTCTTTCTTTCCCTTCCTTCCTTCCTTTCTTTTTTTGGATTAAGCCTATTTGGGTTAATATCTCTGTTACTTGCAACCAAAATCTTTGCAATCTATTTATATTTTTATTGCGTTCCTATCATTTCATTCATTTCTATCTCTGTCTCTGTTTAATCTATATTCTACCTTTTTTCATGACCCAGTCCTCTCCCCTATGAAATGTTTCCAGAGTCTTCTAATTCATTGTGAAAGAACCCTAATCTAAACACATTATTTTACATTCTATATACTAATAAGAGAGCTCACCAAGATATATGATGCTATCATTTGATGATGACTCTCAAATTTTATCTTAAGCTTAACATTTTCTTCTCTTATTTCCACACTTTTATCTCTAACTGAATAGTTGACATCTCAACTTGAATGTCTTGAAGGCTCCTCGAACTGAATTTTTCTATAACTGGACTCATTTAAAAACTTCCTCTCAAATACACCTTTCCTCCAGTGCTCCTTGTTTTTGTAAACAGCACCATCAGCCATCACGTAGACAAGCCCAAAAGCAAGGTCTTCAACCTTTAAAAAAGGAATCAGAGTAGATTTAATTCTTCTTTTCTCCCTTATCCCTATATCTGATCATCAAATCCTTTTGATTTTGTTTTGTAGATAACTTTCAAATTACCTATTTTGTCCCCTTTCACCCTATATCTTCCTCTTTCCTTTTCTCCTCCCCTACCATCACCACCACCACTAAGACCTTGTCTATTGCCTGGAATACTGCATGGCTTTTTTCTGCCTCTCATCTCACATTTTGTTTCCCTTCACTAAATTCTCCTCATGCCATTTAGAATGACCTTTTAAAAATACACAACTGATTACATCAATCCCTTTTTAAAAGTCTTCAGTGCTTTCTCATTGTTCCTAGGATAAAGAACAAGGCTTACATCACCCAACCCCTACCTAACTCTCTCTCTTCATCACCCTAGAGGAAAGTGACCATTGCTATTTTTAAATATCCTCAGTTTAAAAATGTGCAGCATTCAGCGTAGTGCTTAGCACATAGTAGGCACTCAGTAAATATCTGTTGAATGATTGAACAATTTCCTTGCAATAACTCTTGAACCATGAATCACTTTGAGTTATTATTTTTTCCTGTATATTTTACTTTCTGAATTACCTACAAGTACACTGAAGGCAAAGAAATGTCATATTTCTTTGTACTCTGTAGTAGAGTGCTATGTAAGTAGTAGGGATTCAGAAGATATTCAACTGGATTGATACTGATGTTTTGACTCTGATTCCTTTTTAAAAGGATAAGGTTGAAAATTAACAAGAGGAAACATGTTATTCTGTCAAAAAGTTGGAAGTAAAAAATAGGAAACTTGTTTCTGATCCCAATTCTATAGAATTTGCATAGATTAATTATAAAGAAACCATACTTCTGCATGAGCTGGAGAGACTTTAGATAAGCCCTGAGTTAGTGGACAGACACTCAAACATGCTGTTTGTTATTTTCACTGTCATATTTTCAAGTATTTTATATTTCTCTTTAGAAATATTTTATCTTTGAAAAATATAAGCAAAAATTCTGTACTTTAAATAATTAACAGCTGAAGTCTTTTTGAGAAAAGACTGATTATTCTGGAAAATAGTTATCCCCAGTACGAATTAATTCTTAGTTATTGGATATTTACTGGAAAAGGGCAAAAAGAACTTCAGAGATTCCAAGGCAGGGATGAAATTTTAGCCTGTACTATCTCTATTGACATTATCCTAAGTAAGAGATTTCTTAGGGTCACCTAAAATTAGAACATACACTGGAGTCTAAAGGTAATGAAACAGTGAGGGCTGTGAGTGTATTAAACATGAGGACAAGGGGGGACATGTTTCTCAAAGTCTTCTGACTGTGTTAGTTGTAGCCAGATAATGTTTTCTAAGTCAAAGAATGGTAGAGAGAATTAGAATTGAGGGAGTCCAGAGGAGGACGGGGCCAGGACATTTAAGAGTAGACAATGCAAATTTTAGGCCTGAATAAAATTCTTCAGCAGGCTTAAATTTCTGTTTCTTAAAAACTAGTTGAATTTGCCTAAGGCATATTTATACAAGAGGTAATTGTCTTTGGGCTTCTATGGGCTTGCTGTTCAGTTATAAATATCTTCTAGTTTTTTCAGGGTATTGAATCTGCTACTTTGTTAAATTAAAAAAACAAAAAAGGGATGGAAAGGAAAAAATGTAAAAGGAACTCTCCTGAACAAAATGCATTTTTGAGAATGACTACAAATAAAAATCAGAGGGCAGGCTCTTTTACAAATTTTCCTTAGGGTATTAAAAGATATTTTAGGAAACCAGTGATTTGTGATTTAATATTCAACTGCTTTTCAAGCAAAATAAGAAGTTCCACCAGGATATAGTCATGATTTCTTTTCTCCTGTAACCTAATCTCCAAAGGATAGGCTGAAGTGGCACTCTTTATTTTGCTTCTCTTTGTAGAAATAAAAAATGAGCTTAACTGCACGATGGAAGGATAGAGTCTTATGCTCTGCCTCTTTAGACGTGCTCTTCTCTGTATAAGGGAAAAATGATGTTCAGTTCTGTATTTCACTTGCTAAACTTTTCTGTTTTGTTTGTTAATTCCTGAATCTATTGGCAAGATTATATTTGTCCTTTTGCATAATAGTTGGCATATGTTCTATAATTATACTGCAGGTCTTTCGTATTTCTTTTAAAAATGATTCTTTAAAGAGAATGAGATTGCCAATGGACGTCACAGCCATTCTATAATGCAAGTAGTGCAGTTTTAAAAAACACATGGAATAAAGGCATTTATAAATGCTGAAAAAAAGAATATAAGCTTCCCTATTTATGTATATTTTATGCAGGTTTTCCTCAATATTGAGTAGAAATGTAAAAAGTTGTATTTATCTACCTCTGGCTCAAAGATTGAGAGTACCCTATAACAGCATCTATTAATAAGAAGTAAAATTCTCCCTTATAATTTTGAAAACTTCCTAAGGAAACAAGAGAAATAATATTGTACGAGAATTAAGTAAGTAAAAGCTACACATGAGTTATCCACAATTACCCTAAAACAATCAAACTTCTGTGATTATCTCCATAAAAGAGCGATTGATGTGTTTTGGGAACACCCAGTCCTCCATTAACAAGATCTGGAAATAACATCATTACAAGGAGACAGGACTGGAATGTGACTGGAGAAGCTGAAATTGTACCCTAACAGGGAGGGGGTGGCTAGGTGAGAGCTGTAGATAAAGTTTTGTTCTTTCTTTATAAGGGGATCCATCTCCCACAAAGTAATCCCAGCACAGAAGCCTCTAGTGCTGCGGAATGTGGATGGACCACCACTAGCTTTGAGAACAAAGAAGAGAAAATCCAGGGATCAGAAGTTACTCCCATGGATCAGGGTCTTCCATTCTCTCGCAGACTGGAGAAGTCACTTCTTCAGAGGATTTCTCACACTTTCCTTTGGT